CACACACACACACACACACACACACACACAGCTAATTTAAGAAATGGAGATGTTTAATGTTTCAATTTAACAAATCTATTAAATAATTGTTTCAAGGATTAAGAGGAAACTACTAATTAATTCAGAAAATTAATATTTCAGTATTTCAAATGTAGAATTCCGGCCAAACTAAATCAGTTTAAATTGTCCAAAAAATGAAAAAAGGCGGCACACTCTTGTGAAAATGTCACAAATACTGCAATATTAAGGAATGAGCAGTGTGTCATAAAGGCTTTAAATTCTTCTAAGTATGAGTATTGAAAACTTGCTTTCACTCTGAAGCATTTGTGTTTCAAATATTTGCCATAGTTAGTCATCTCTTTAGAAGAAATCCTAGTAAGCCAGGTTCAACCTGCAGCAGTATTTGACAATGCCACCTTGGTGTCCATTTTAACACTAACACTTCACTTTTCTTGTCTTTTATCATTAACTTCATGGTTTTGTGACGCCAAATGGTAAATGGACAGCATTTACATAGCACCTTTCCAGTTTTAACAACTCTCTACAATCCTCAAAGCGCATGTATACATACAAGACAGCATTAACCAATTCATACACACTCATAGAGGCACAGAATGCCATAAAAGGGTGACCTTCAAAGGCAAACTAACATTCACACACACTCACACACCATTGGGAGCACCTTAGGATAAAGTATCTTGCCCAAGAACACATTGACATGTTCTGGGAATTGAACCACCCAACTTCACAAAAGTTCCTACAACCACTCTAACTTTCAGCCACACCTGCCCCATAAATCTGGCCAGGGTCTAAACGTTGGGGCTCGAAGTAGGGTGATGGGGTGGGCAATGGCCCCTTGAATGTGTTGACTGTCATGAAAGACAGGAATATTTACACCTTACAAAGTACTGCAAAGGACTTCTGTGGTTGTTCTTGCTACAGTAGGCTTTGCAATGATGACACACAGACAGACTCACTAGCTGAAAACAAAGCCAGAATTGCTGTCTCGGCTGGAATTCCAGACAGAATACTCAAACTCTCCGGTTGCATACATTGTTACAGAATGTCAACGAAGAAAGGGAGGCTGTTAAATATTTAAACAGTCATAGAAAATGTATCCATTTCCCAAAACTGACCACTTCCAAGAGCTTGATGGGAGATAATGTGACTGAAAAGCTTTTAGGTTTCTAGATGTACACTTCATTATCTAACAAAAGTAAAGCCTGGTGCATGGCCCTATTCTTGCTCCTGTCACCAACAAAGGAAATGTTTGCCTTATATACCTAACAATCTTGAGTAGTGAACACAAAAATCTGAACAATTCTTCAGAAATCTGGGGTGGCCATTAAACTGTTAATTTATTCCCATATATTTATATGTGCAAAATGCGTCTGATGTAATAAATAAGGTAAGTTTCCTTTGACTTTTGCAACATGGATGTTCAGATGGACTGATTCACTTTTTTGTCTAGGGTTCTTTGTTATTGTATTGTTACAGTAGATGCAATGTAAAAATGTATCTTTTGAAGTATGAAGTGTAAAAAAAAAAACATTGTTGAATATAGTTATTTTATTATCTTCGACCAGCAGCTCTAAAGCTCCCCTTGTCGTGTGTGGACGAAGGTTTCTCAAACGAGTGGTGGCCATAGAGTTTACCCTAGTTTTGCCTTTTTCTTTTACTCTTGGTGTCTTTTAGTTACCAAGCATTTGGATACTGAGAATGTCATATTCAAAAATCAGATTGTCAGCTGTGCTTAAAAATGGAAAGCCATGAGTGTGAACCCTTCAATGGCAGAGACAAAAGCGTGTCTGTACTACAGGCCTGTTATATAACGGAGGATTCATTACAACACACTGTACAGGGTTAGGTGAGTTAGCAGGGCTGTTGTACTACTTAACCCATTAAAAGGCCGACATATTCAGACTAAAGGAAAAATCGAATTGGTAACACCTCAAAACTGCTTTAAAAACTAACACAAACACAACCTGCATAGCTACAGATTAGTCACTGTCTGCCCCATGTCATGGCGGTCTTATGATAAAACGTCCTTGGGAGTATTTCTCTTTTGTCCAACCATGATGTGTTTCAGATGGTCTCTTAAATCTCCTCTGACAGATGGATAGATGTACTACTGCAGCGCTGTAAGTATGAAATAGATCTCTTAAGTAGTGGGATGAAAATGTCAGGTCTAGGGGGAGAAAACAATTCAACTCCTGAAGCACACTCGTTTAAAATCATCTTGAAGAAGTACTTTTTATTAAAAGGCAAAACTTAAACCAGCTTGCATGAGGAGCCTCCAAGTGTTTGTTCTGGTAAGGAAATAGTCATTAACATAAATTATTATTGACATTAGGGTCATATTGAAAACACATTAGCGATTGACATTTTGGGAAATATGCATTTTCTCTTATTCAGTAATAAGATGAGCAGACTGCTGCTTTAAATAATTAAAGTTTCTTGGTTTTAGTAAAAAAAATGTAATCTTTTAATTTGTTGTTATCAACAAATGCTCATTAGTTGACTGGAGTTATAAAATATATATTAAGTTAATATTAAGTTGAATGTTATGTTATAATGTTGCTTCAGCAAGTTTGGTTTGAATGGAGTTAATTTTATAGTCATTTTCCTGATTCATGATTATGTGTCTTGTTATTACATTTACATAATATCTGAAATAAAGCTGACAAAGTTCACATAGCAATGCTTTTCTATACAGTTACCTTGTTTCCTGAATATCCTGTGGGTGTTTGTCTTCAGTAATTGTTTAAATAAATACATTATATGTCTATTTGTATTATAAAAGATGCTCAAATCAGGTGAGAATGTGATAAATACAAGATTTGTTGAATAAGCAGACATCCTATTCTTATCTACAGTATATGCTGGTGGGAGGATGGACAATGTAACTACACTTAATCATTATAACATTTTTCAGACGTTATGATCTTAAAAAAACGGACAGAAAAACGTTGGTTCAGAATGTGATGTTTATATAATGGTTGTAGTAAACTATTTATATATGTGGGTAAATTATTAGATGTTTTCTTGTTTTTCCAAATCATTGTTTTTTTATTGCAAGTGCTCCAATTTCAAGCTAGTTCTGTTAAGTATTTTAAAACGTGTAGAGTTGTTTGCAGGTATTATTTAAAAACTTTAAAGTGATGTAACGTTTAGAGAATCATGCAGTATGTACTGTAGCAGAATGTGCACTGCGGTATATAATCACACCAGCAGGTTTACAGCACAGATGGAGGGTTTAAAGAGTAGCCACCTGAGACAATGCTCTGTGCTAACAAGTCAATTTGCAATGGGTTGTCGTCTCATCTGGCCTGTTTAATGCACGCACGCACGCACGCACGCAAATGCAAAGCTATGTTTGAAGTTGGAGACAAAAGCGTGTCTGAACTGAAAGCCTGTTACATAACTGAGGATCTATTACCACTCACTGTACAGGGTTATGTGAGTTACCAGGGCAGTTGTTGTACTCCTTCACCCATTCAATGGCCTATATGTTAAGATTAAATGAAATATCTAATTTGTAGGGGGCCCCATTATGGTTATTTGAAGGTTCATATTTGTATTTTGTGCCTCTACTGTGACATGTTTACATGCTGCAGCACCTCTTTTCTCTGTCTGGAACCAGACTACAGTGTCTTTTCTGCAAAGCTAAGTCTACTTCAAGACTAGATTTTAAGCCACAACATGTTAGTTGGTCCCACAACATTAAAACCAGCTGAACACAGTTTATGACCAATCTTTTGTCAGCTAAAGTCTGACAGATGATCAACATTTCAACTAATCAGAAATCTATCCAATTGTCCGACAGATCAATGATCGTTCAGGCATAATTCAGGTTTTGTGTCTTAAAAACATTGTGACACCATGACGTCAGTTTGTTATGCACGGATAATGAAAAAGCACGTTGCGAATAACCTGTATTTGACCAAAGATAAGGGCTGCTTGTAGGTTTACATTACACATCTATTCTGTCTGAAGCAAAGAGGAATGATCATCTCATTAAGACCTTAACCTTTACTGTTCAAGCCTGTTGGATACTGAAAAACACTTAGTTCCTGTAAACACTTCAGGCAATACATTAGAGTTAGAAATATATCCAAACCGGCAGTAAAATACCAGTGGATCAATCATTTCAAAGCTCTATTTTCTTCAACATTATCCCTTTGTACTACGACATCACTTTAAACTGTAGTTGGGTCTGTGTCCACATTTGTATTATGTGTGTACGTTTAGACTATGTACCAACACTTGCGTGATAAACTGTGAACACAACAGTGATGAAATTAAAGCTGTGAAATTGTCTTTTGGTTTGATTCAGAAACACAAAGATAAGACAGATATAGAGATAGAGAGACATAGAGATAGAGACATAGATAGAGATAGAGAGAGAGACAAAACATATTAAATCACACAAAAGAAAAACTGCAGCTTAAATAAATACACCCTGAATTATGTACCAAGAACTAAATCAAGTATGTGTACTATTTTTTTATTGTGCACATATCTCTTCAGACTTTATGGACCTGGCTTGGGAGCAGTATGCACTGTAAATCTCACTTCTCAGAAATACAAATACACTTTTGTATTTCATCCTTTTTTATGGATCTGCCTGAAGAAAACACACTCATACGCACAGATAGAGTCTAATGCACTGTTTTAAGATTCAACAAACTCATAAGCTAAAAGCAACATGTCAGTGTTTTTTGTTTGTTGGCCCTCTACTAAGTTCCTTTCTGATCAAGCTGACTTTAATTGACACTAAGCTTCGATTTGTGGAGGAAAATCTGGGTTTGGAATAAAAATGTCAGGTTTCAATCAAAGTTCACTTCGACCTCATACTGGATTTCAATTTGAAGGCTGTTTTTCAACAGATTTAAATGTTACCACATTATATATACATTCAATAATACCAATATTAAGTCCCTACATGTTCTAAAGATAATCACAAACACAAGTGAATTTAAATGAAGACAACAACTCACCTAGGAAAGCAGAAGGCGACACGGTGCCATTGCTCCGAGAAACCATGACGCTGATGCCAGTCTCCACAAATGGTACGGAGAACTCTACGACCTCAGACCTTTCTTCATTAATGGTGAGAGAACCGATGGCCATGTCAGCCCTGTTGGACACCACCTGGAAGACAGGACACAGGGAGTAATTTAAGGAAGGGTTAACCCTAACCCTAATTCAAGACTATGTAAAGGATATTTTTTACCAGACAAAAATATTTACATTTATTTTTTAGTTAACCTGCATCACCTTATAATCTTTATTCAAATGTTGGAACACATCATAACATTTGTGAGTTATACCCCCTTCTACAAAGCGTGCTGTGCATAGAGGCATGCAGTCTGAGAAAATAAACATCCAAAGTGAAAATACTTCACAGGCTTTGTCAATAATCTGGGGGTACAATGGAGTGAGTTTTTCTTTTGTCTCGGCATGCAGCATGAAACTGGGCCGTGTTCCTCCTCAGAGCTGTACCGACAGCTAAATGAGGCTCAGGTGGTCAGAAGGTGAGGAAGTGAGGGGATTCACAGCTCTGTCATGTTTCACCTGGCAGGAAACAGAGGTTACTTGGCTGCAGCCGAGGGACTGTGGAGGTCAGGGGAGCTGGCTACTGACCAGAAGTTCTGTAGCAGATTAGTCTGAGTCTTGGCCTTGCCCCAAAAGTCTGTGAAGACAAAAGGCTCTGCGGTCCCTGACCAGACACCACTGACACTATCCACCATGCTCTTGGAGTCACAATCCTTAAAGCCATTTTCATTCTTTCACTGTTGACATTTAAATGTTTAGCGTGATTGCTATCACCTGTCAATCATAAAGTGGTGGCACTGAGGTGATATTTTTATCTTTGAAATCTTCTATTGATTGATTTTGGGATAATGCAGGTGGTGTTTTTATCTAGGTTCAGCCATGGCTTTTGCTGAGAGCCGAAGGATGTACTAAGGATATACGTATGTGCTGAATAACACAAAGCTACCAAATAGAAAATTGCCATAGTTAAACGGATAGGTGTGAATAAAATAAACTGGTTGTAATAGGTGGAATAACAGCAAAATAACTCTTAAATTAATGCATTTAAAAAAATCTTTGTAAGCGACATGAAATGCCCCAAAGCTAATGTGTCACCTGAAATTAAGGCTATGTCACTGTTAAGTGCTGCTATGTTGTTGGAAACTGTACTCAAGAAACCCAACAAGCATGTCAAAATGGTTTATGACCAATACATCTCATCTCATCTAATCTTTTCTCCTACATTTTTAAAAGTTGCTGTCGATCAGGCTATGGATCTCAGAGCTTTGAGTGCATGAAGCTTATATTAAATAAATATATTAATATATGTGACCTGCTCTATCGAAATCAGTCGGAAGTGGCAACGGTTCATTTCAAAATAAACGTGGATTTGCGTAAAAAAATAGTTTTTCGGGGTGTTTTGTTTGATTTAAATAAACAAAGTCTTGGCTTTCAGAATATGAAACTTTTATTTCCAAAATCACACGATAAATACATGTTTGAAGCTTGTAAAGGGAAGATGACAGGCACCTCTCACTCGCACTCTGCTCTTCCGCAGCGCCGCTCCCCCTCCCTCCGGCTGAAATTATGAATGTAAGGTGTATAGTAATCATAGATAACACGGCAGGGTCCGTTACAGTTTGTTTTCATCTGATTTCAAATAAACAAAGTCTTGGCTTTCAGAATATTAAACTTGTTTTGGCAAATTCAGATGATAAATACAACTATGAAGCTTGTAACGGCATAATTACAAGCGGAGAACGGAGTAACTTGACGTCACAGCAGGCATAACAACAGCCAGTGTTTCTCGTGAGTGTTTTCCCCGGGAAACAAACACAATACACACAAACGCAAAAATACACAAACACACACACACACACACACACACACTCGCGAGCTTCCCCCAGACCAGTAATCCAACGAAAATATTTTCCCTCCGGACTATTTTGATCATTTGCTCCGCTAATAATCAATCAGATCGATGGATTCCAGAGAAGAGGAAACTTTGAAGGCCTTTTTCTCAAAATGATGACTCGGTGACAGTCATTATATAATGTGACATATTTTGCTTAATATTTGGAGTACAAAAACAATCCTGATATCATTAGAAAGCTAGGAATCTCCTCTTTCCAACAGTGTATACAACTCAAAATGTGTCTTCGGGTCAATGCTACTGATTTCGATAGAGCAGGTCACATATATGAAACACAACTAACTGCTCACTTTATTACCTTAATCAAACAAGTTTCAATTCTCAACACATACATTTAAATTATATAATCATAAGGCAATCATGAAATTAATGTGAACTAACAGCTATCAAAAGGCAGGAAAGAGTGTGTTGAAAAGAATGAATTGCACCATTGAACTTCTCTTAATTAATGCATTAAGATAGTGTTAAACTTTTTAAGTTTACTTTGGGAAATCAATAGTTTGTCTTAGAAGCTTTTGGGGACATTTAAGTATTTCTACGCATAAGTAGACGCATAAGTCACACTTTTCAAACCGTGTGAGATGCTGTTTCTCTGCCTGTCAAAATCAATCAATCTAATAATAGTTATTCCATTAAATAAAAATAGGTCATTTACACTCGGAAAAAAAGCTTAAAACAACACCTGTGACACTCCTATGCTGGGAGTGCTTTTTCGCTGCATAGATTTTCTATTGGGAGCATAAACATATTATATCCGGATGATTCATGGTCTGAGCATGAGAACATTTTTAGGACGTAGGAAATAACTGCCAGATTTGAAAGGCATTCATGTAAGGACTAAGGTCAAAAACTGGTTGAATGACATTTTGAAATACAGCGGAAATGATTATCAAAGCAAAGCCTTTCACTGAAGGTACAAGGAGACAGTAGAAGTCTAATGAGGCAAACATATTATCCTGGGTGAATTTTACTTGTCAGGATGTAAGAGGCAAGCGCACAGGTTATATTTAAACGTTTTTGTGATAACTAGGGGGTGGCTACTAGAACCCATTGAGAATAAAACACTTTATTTCCTGCATTCTGGTGAAATTTCTTTACACATTTCGTCCTGTTCTGCATCAATTTATGTTGAGATTTCTGTATGTCTATATATTAAAATAAAATCAGGCATCAAGTGAAAATGATATATCACTTCATCACCACACATTATTTAGGCAACATTTACTCTCTCTTTTGTCTCCTATTATACTATTTTCAGCCATCTATTATAGGTCTCAGATATATAAAAAACATGTCTATGAAGTGTTTTGCTCAAAATACCAAACAGATCACCCATTCTAGCCATGCCTCATATCCCTCTATTTCAGCCCTGTGGAGCACGCAACAGCTCTCTTCTGTGAAGAGAGAAGTTTCTACCCAGATTCTCAGCTAAATGCTTCCGTGATTAAACGCCATATTCCAATGTTCCAAACCACATCAAGGATTATTTCTGAAACAGTATGGAGCTCAAATGCTTTTTCTCTCACAGGTTTACCAAAAGGTGAGTACCTTTTTATATCCAGCTTTTTTACACATACTCTCTCCAGTACAGCATTAGCTCTGAGTGTTAGCGATGCTTGCTAATGTAAACAAAGACCATATTGCTTCCAAAACACGTTGCGCAGTGTTTCTGATACAGCAATATTTCTGATAGGGCCGTGGGCGTAAAGCCAGCCCACATTTGAGTAATGTTGTCATGACCGCAGCAAATCTGGATCATCTCCCTTGTCTCCCACCCCCGTTTTTAGAGATGTGGGTAAGGAGGAAAGAGAGAGGGTTGTATTTTCTGACACTTTGTGAGTCTCCTGACACACCGGGGACACATATTTATGTATAAAATACATCAAAAAGTGCATTTTGCCTAATAGGTGACCTTTAATATGCAAGTGGCACTTATTCATGTCATTGAATAAATACACTTATCGTTATTTATAAACCCCTTAACTTAAGTTGCTGTGTTTCAGCAAGATGTTTGCTCATCTTCAAAATGTTCTACATATTCAAAACACCCATATCTAGGTTATGGAGGATTTGTAAAGTTTCAATTCTGTCCTACCAAAATATCGGTAGGGACGTATATCTGGGATCTTTATTTGATACTACACAATTGCTAAGAGGAGTTAATACAAATAAATAAAAAATGGTTGAGTTGAGTGATGAAAGCAATGCAAGCGAGAAACCACAATTTTGCTTCTTCTTCTTTTTGTATTGTTAATACAGGTTGCTGGTTTGGATTACTGTTGCAGGTAGAAGGAAACTACGGTGACTACAGCATTTCAGAAAAAACTACCGCATTTCAAAAATTACGGAAAGGGTATTCCTTTAAGCCCCTGTCACACTGTCCCAAAATTGACACCAGATGGACACACGATAAAGGAAATGTTCAAATTTGGCTCTGATCGTAACAACATCGGGCCATTCGTGAGGGCATCTTAAGCCATCGTATGACCACCGGTGGAGTTTCTCAGGCTCCGGCAGCAACTTCGTGAGCGGTGGCAAAATCTTTGGCATGCCAAAAAATTGCCGAAGGAGCTTGCAAAGGTTCATTTTCGTGTTGAAATCGTGTGTCAATTTTGCCTTTCGTAAGGCACTCGTGAGGGCATCTTGTCAAATCGTGTCATCTTCGTCTGATCATCAGTGCCATCGGGCATTTTTCGCCTCACAAAGACAATAGGAAGGAAACAAGAAGCTGCCCGATTGTCTTAGTAAGGCAACACAACTACGTGAAGCCCTCGCAATGCCGTCATGTAGCCATCGTATTATAGTACGATGACATCGAGATGGGACCCCGGTGTGCAATGTTTCCTTGCAGATCGCTTCTCTGGTTGTTTTATTGCACAACAAAATCATGTAAACATATTATGTAAATAACCAAATTTGTTTTCTGTGAAACTGAAAAGGATATTACATTGTTTTTGTTACTTTCGTTGCAGTTGTATGACTTAAATGTAATTTAGGTTAACTTCCTGTTTTATTTTGAAGGTGAGTTTACGCTGTTGACAGGAAGTTGTTGTTGCTATGGAAACAACATGACGGAGAAAACTCAATATCTTCTACATATAAAGACGGAGAAAGTAAAGAACGAAGTCTGAAAATATCAGTGACAATTTTTATTATATACAATCTCAAGTTTCCAAAATGTAAA